CAGATAGAATTACTCGTAAGAGAAAAGAAAAAAAAAAAAAATTATTTTACGTCGTAAAATAATTTTTTTTTTCTTCTGCTTTCTCACCCCAGTTGTACATAATTAAAAATCATCATTATCATCATTATCATCATCATTATCATTAAAAAAAAATTTATGAAAAAAAAACTTACCGAAAAATGTCCAATGAAAAAAATCTAGAAGGAAAAAAAAAGAAAGTTGAAACGAAAATAATAATAATAATAAACGGTTTTTTCAAAAAAAAATAAATTTTTTTTTTATTAGTGCCACGTCTTTTTTTTCTCTTCGTTCGTACTTTGTCAAAATTAAAAAAAAAAAAATTTTTTTTAATGAAAATAAAAAAAAAAATGTTTTGTTTGTAATACTAACTAACTCTGATGTTCGAATCCAAATAACAACTGATCGTCGTCTGCTTTTTTAAATAGCGTCATTTGAGTAAACGCCGTTTCCATTGGCAACCAGCTTCCCTTTCTCTCTCTCTCTTCCTCTTCCTCTTTTTCTGTCATGTCTTTCATTTTTTTTTTCTCGTCTTCTTCGTTTTTTTTTTCTTCATTTTCTCATCACATAAACTTAAATTTAAAAGAGAAAAAATAAAAATCAATAAAGTGATAAATAATTATTTTTATCTAATTATACATGCGCAATTATTATTAATAATAATAATAATAATAATAATAAGGGGTGGAAAACTTATGATTGAAACGGAAGCGTTTATTACTACCGAACCTTCCGAACTTACAACTACGAAAAGGCAATTTTCAAGGTCCCCCAAAATTATATGTGTCAATCGCATTTAACACGGAATGGATGGAGCAGCCAAGGAAGGGTGTAACTACATTCCAGACCCGGTTACGACAGCGAGATCATGCACAGTTCTGTATGATCAACAAATCCACACTGACAGAACTGTGCCAGCCAACAAACCGGATATCATCCTGAGACATTATGTGGAAAATGGTGTAAGCTAATTAAAGTATCCATATACAGATGGAAAAAATCACCAGACTGCCAAAAAAACGGACAAAAGGCTGAAATAGCCAGGATGTGGGGAGTAAAGACAGAAACTATTCCAGTCATCGTGGGAGCAGCACTGAGAGCCTCGCCACATTCAATAAAAGGAAATTTTAAGAGAGACCCCTACAGGAAGTACAACAACCGACATTCTTCGACAGCACCATCAATATTCCTAAAGAATAGAGTAGAGACAAGTACATGGAATCTTATCGTGTTGTAAAGTGATAATAATAATGATGATAATAATAATAATAATAATACTAATAATAATGTAGAAGACAAGTAGTCGAAACATCCTTACCAGAGGAGCGACGGGAGGGAATCAACGAAAATGTTTTAAAAAAAAAAAAAAAAAGATAAAAATCAAGGGAATTCGGAAACGATAAATAATAATTTCCAACATCGTGGCAGCAGAACCATGGAAGTCATGCCGAAATTCACGTGGAACGACGACGATTCGATGAGGAGGAAATTCACAAAACAAAAAAAAAAATAGGAGGAGGAAACCGTGCGAAAGATCCAAAAATTATTTCACCCGACGTTTTTGTAAACTACTTATTTTTTAAAAACCTGGAACGAATCCTGGAAAATTTGTCGTCTCCCATCAAAAATAGTAATAATAATAATAATAATAATAATAACAATAGCGAATGTAAAATATGTTATATATATTGGGTTGGCCAATAAGTAACTGCGGATTTTACCAACAGATAGTTTGTTTATTTTTTTGAGTACGTTTACGTTTTTGTACAGACATGAACTTTTGATATGTTATTACTTGGTTCCTTCTGTAACATTCGGTACCAAAATTTCATTGAACTCTTAAATAGTACGCGAGCAAAAGATACTTAAACATGGGGAGCCAGAGCGAGCATTTCCTCCACATTTTACTTTTTTATTTTTGAAAGGGTATTAATGCTTCCCAGGCCAATAAAAAGTTGTGGGTCGTGTAGGGGGATGAAGCCTTAACAGAACGGCAGTGTCAAAACTGGTTTGCGAAATTCCGTTCTGGAGATTTTTCTTTGCAAAATGAGGAGCGCTCCGGGCGCCAATTGGAGGTTAAAGATGAGCAAATAAAGGCCCTCATTGATTATGATCGGTATAGTTCGACGAAGGACATTGTAAAGAAGCTAGATGTGTCACATACGTGCGTCAAAAACCGTCTGCGGCGTCTTGGGTGCGAAAAGAAGCTTGATGCGTTACTTTGGGGAACGTTAGTTAACGAGGCGACTTGGTCTTTGCGATATGCTTCTTAAACGCAATGCAAATGACCCTTTTTTGAAAGAATGGTCACCGGAGATGAAAAGTGGGTTGTCTATGATGACTTTTTGAGAAAAAGATCCTGGTTTAGGCAAGGAAACAGGCACCAACAACTTCTAAGACTGACATTCACCAAAAAAAGGTATTGTTATCATTTTGGTGGGATTACAAAGGCATAGTCAACTTTGAGCTGCTGCCACGATGT